GGAGGAGGAGGAGGAGGAGGAGGAGGAGGAGGAGGAGGAGGAGGAGGACGGTTGAGGAGAGGAGGAGGAGGAGGAGGAGGAGGAGGAGGAGGAGGAGGACGAGGAGGAGGAAGAGGAGGAGGAGGAGGAGGAGGAGGACGCGGAGGAGGAGGAGGACGAGGACGAGGAGGAGGAGGAGGAGGAGGAGGAAAGGAGGAGGAGGAGGAGGGGGGTGGAGGAGGAGGAGGAGGAGGAGGAGGAGGAGGGGAGGGGGAGGACGCGGAGGAGGAGGAGGAGGAGGTTGAGGAGGAGGAGGAGGTTGAGGAGGAGGAGGAGGAGGAGGAGGAGGTTGAGGGAACCCGCGAGCGAATTCGGAGAAAAGGCATCTTGGGCCATGGGGGAGTCGCAGGCGGAACGAGCAGCCACGAGAAACGAGGGGCAGGCGTGGGTGATAATGGGCAAGCAGGAGTGGTGGTAGGTGGAGATGAAAATAGCAACGGCTGAGAGGACAGAAGGGCGAGCTCCAGGATCGTGGAAACGGAACATGTACTAAGGCACGTGGATCAGCGACGGGTCCCGATTCCGAACAGAGCCCACGCGTTCCGTCGCGAAAGCAGACAGCATAGGCTCCATATTTCGGGATGGGCTTTCCCCCTGATCAGTGGTAGCGTGTGCCTGACAGGAGATGGAGCGGGGAGAAGACTGGCAGAGTGGGTGGGTGGAGCACAGGGGACGCATAAGGGGGAGCGTGCAGAGGACCTGTATGGATGATGACGATGCAGTCCAAATGCAGATGCTGATGCTGCTGCTGATGGTGGTTGTGATTATGACGACGATGCTAATACTGATGCTGCTGATGATGGTGAGGGTGATGATGGTGGTGATGCTGCTGCTGCTGCTGATGATGATGATGATGACGATGATGATAATGATGATGATGATGATGATGATGATGATGATGATGATGATGATGATGCTGATGCTCATGCTGATGCTGATGCTGGTGCTGATGATGCTGATGCTGATGCTGATGCTGATGCTGATGCTGATGGTGATGGTGATGGTGTTGACGAGGATGATTGTCGTGGTGGTGGTGGTGGTGATAGTGATGATGACGTTGGTGAACAGTATGAGAAGGAACGGAAGGATGAGAAACGGAGCGGGCTAAGGGACATGTGGGGACGGGTAAGGGAGAGGGGAAGGTGGGGGAAAGGGGATGCAGCTCTGGGGAATGAACCTCCTCCCTCGTCCTTATCCTTGCCCTCGTCCTCCTCCTCCTCCTCCTCCTCCACCTCCTCCTCCTCCTCCTCCTCCCTCCTATTCTTGTTTACGGCCCCACAAATGAGGGCTCTCCGTTCCTCCTCCCCCTCCTCCCTCCCTCCATCCTGCTCCTCCTCATCCTCCGTCCTCCCTTCCCCCCCCTCCTCCGCCTCCTCCTCCTCCTCCTCCTCCTCCTCCTCCTCCAGTCTTTTTCCGCATACATCACTCCTCCCTGTCGCACCCCGAGGCCAGTGGGAGGGGCGGGCCTGGCGTTTCGCCCGAGGCGTCCTTACCACTTACGATCCCGATCCCGACGCTGACGCAGTGACGGCAGCTCCACGGAGGGAGGGCGGGCGGCTTTCAAGATGTGGCTTTCGCCAAGGCCTCCTCCTCCTCCTCCTCCTCCTCCTCCTCCTCCTCCATCCCCTCTCCTCCTCCTCCTCTCCTCCTCCTCCTCCTCCTCCTCCTCCTCCCTCCTCCCCTCCTCCCTCCTCCTCCATCTCTCCTCCTCCATCCCTCCTCCTCCTTCCTCCTCCTCCTCTTCCATCCCTCCTCCTCCTCCTCCTCCTCCTCCTCCTCCTGCTCCTCCTTAGCAGCACTCAACAAAACGTGTCCAGGTCAGAAAGTTTCAGCGTACAACTCTGACGCATGGAATAAGATTTGTAAGGGTCTCCATCCGAAAGCGAAAGGAGTAACCTTACTTTCAGACACTTACAGTGTGCTTTAAGCATGCAGCGGGAGCCATGGTGCTCAAAACAAATCCTCAATCCCTCCTTCTCCTCCTCCGCTCACATTCGCTTCAAGAGGCTGCAAGAGTTTCACGGACTGAGGGCGGGTCGTTTTCAAAATGTGTCTCTCGCGTGAGCGCCGCGCCCACTCGTCTCTGAGCATTGCAGGTGTGTCACGGTTTGATGGCGGTTCCTGTTCGCAATGTGGTTCTCGCCTCAGTGCCGCGCACATTGGTTTCAGTCATTGCAGGAGTTTCACGGATTGAGGGCGGGTCGTTTTTTGAAATGTGGTTCTCGCCTTAGCGCCGCGCGCATTCGCTTTAAATGATTGACCCGCGAATCCGGAAAGGGATTGATAATTGCGAGGTATAGAGTCGTTTCTGAGGACCTCAATTGCATGTGCAATTGGGCGATGCCAGGGTGGAATGCCAGGGGGACGCGCCGCGGAGTGTCCCAAAGGACGAGCCAGTGGACGTGCCAGGGGACGTGCCATGGTCACGCACCGCGGGACGTGCCAGGGGGACGCGCTACGGAACGTGCCAATGGACGTGCCACGGGACGTACCAGGGGGCGCGCCGCGCGACGTGCCAGGGGGACTCGCCACGGGACGCGCCACGGAGCGTGCGAGGGAACGTGTCAGGCGACGCGCCAGGGGGCGTGCCAGGTAACGCGTCAGGGCGCCCCTCTTTTCTCTTCCTCCAGATCCTATGGCTGCCAGCTTCGAGCCTTTCTGGGATGTCTCGGACGCAGACTACTACCATCGGCTACCCACCAGGCCTTTACAGTGCAGGAGTCCAGGCAGCGGCTCTCTGGCTGATAGGCTCAACTCGTTCCGCTGTTCACCGCCTGGGCTTGCCTATTGCAGGTCGGCTCGAGTGGGGTCGGCTCGGAAACGGATTTTGGCCTTCTTTCGTTGTCGAGCTTCCAGCGCTCCAATAGAGCCGAAGAGGCCCCCAAGACCGCCCATAGGCCCCCTAGAGAGCCCAAGACGGCCCCAGAGAGAGTCCCAAGACTGCCCAAGAGGCGCCGAAGACGGTCCAAGAGTGCCCCAGGGCATGCCCAAGATGGGCCCGAGAGCGGGAACAGGAGGGTCTCCAGGACCCCCCAAAGGCCCCCAACGAACCCCAGACCCTTGGGAGGCCATCGAAAATTAAGGCCCCACGATGCCCCCAAAACAACCCTGGAGTGGTCCAAACTGCCTCCCAAGAGCCCCCTGCAAGCCTCTTGGGCCCCCCCCATTCCTGCGCATTGCATAATCGGTGGTCCGACTTAAACCAAAAATAGTTCCAGTGATTACTTTTTTTCGAATTCACCCCGAGACCCATCAAGACTTCGGGATCACATTCCACAGATTTTTCGGGAATGCTGTTCAACTCTCCGACACTGTCTTGGAAATCTCCATGGCAGTCTTCATGCCCACTGGGCTGCCCCGGAGAAAGGCCGTCAGAAATGGAGATCCCCTGAGTTCGCCCGTCCAGCCCAGTGAGACCTGCAGCGCGCGCACGCGCCAAGAGAGAGCCAAAGGAGAGGACCTGCCCAAGCCTTTCGAGCGCTTTGCATGAAGATGGCTCCAAGGATGTCGCAAAGGCTCTCGAGGCGCCCCACAGATGCCTTCAGAGACTCCCGGGAGGCTCTCAGGAGGCACCAAGAGGTTCCCAAGAGGCCCCGAAAGACTCCCAAGACGCCACCATAAGGGCCCCAGAGGCGTCCCAACCGTCCACGGCCTGTATCCAGGAAGCTCCTGACCCGCGGCCCAGGCATGGAAATTTGAAAACATATGAAAGTCCACGAATGTTTGTTTTCGCGAACTGACCCCCTGCTTATTTTTCTCAACAGACCATACTTAAGGCCCCCTGTCACCACGGGAGAAAGATCCCAGGAAGCCTTCGAGGGTCCCAAATCATCAAACACCTAAAGGAAATGTATGAGTCTGGGTTTCCGCATTTCCCCTTCTACACGCTTCCGAGGCTTGCGCAGGGACTCCAGGAAGATCGTTAGATGTACAAGGCACTCCAACAATTGAGATTCCATGCGTTCGCCTGTCGAGCCTAGCTAGAACTTGAGCGCGCGCGAAGCGCGCGCGATGGTTCTAGTATGTGTGTGTGTGTGTGTGTTTTCATGTTGCGAGATGCCGCGGTTTGACGGCGGTTACTTTTCAACATGTGTGTTCTCGCGTTAGCGCCGCGTGCAGTTGTTTGAACATTTTGGCAGGGTCTCACGGATTCCCGCAGTTAGTGTATTAGAGATTGTGTTCTGGAGCGATTCAGGATGTCAGGGCGCAATTGTTATGTTGATTCGTGGTGTTGAATCCCAGGAGTGGTGTTCTGGCACGGTTCTGGAGCGTCAAGGCGCAACAGGCAGGTTTAGTCGTGGCGCTGGAGTCCCGATAATGGTGTTCCGACATGCTTCCGGATCTTCAAACGGTTGTCTCTTGACGGGGCATTTCTTTCAGTGGAATGAGTTTTTGTTGGGGCCTATGTAGAGGCAGCCTGGACGGAGGCTGTATTCCAGCATCGTTGATGAGTCTTGGGTTTGCACTGGTCCTCTTCCTCCTCCCCCTCATCCTCCTCTTCATCCTCCTCCTACCTTCTCCCTCCCTGATTCTCCACTTCCTCCCAGTCTGCTGCTCCTTATCCTTCCACTCCTTATTTCAAACCCATGTTTTCCTTCGATCCCTCTGCTGCTCCTCCTCCTGCTCCCGCTCCTGCTCCTGCACCTCCTCCTCTTCCTCCTCCTCCACCACCTCGTCCTCCTCCTCCTCTTCCTCCTCATCTTCCTCCTCCTCCTCTTCCTCCTCCTCCTGCTCCTCCTCCGTGCCCTCCTCGTCCTCCTCCTTTTCCTCCTCCTCCCCCCTTCCCTCCTCCGCCCGCCTGCCCGCCCGCCCGCAGGCCACTCCTCCTCCTCCTCCTCCTCCTCCTCCTCCTCCTCCTGCTCCTCCTCCTCCTCCTCCTCCGCCTCATCCTGCTCCTGCTTCTCCACCCTTCTCGTTCCTTCTCCGTTTCCTCCTCTTTGGAGGGGGAGCGCGCGTGGGAGGGCTCCAGGAGAAGCAGCTGATCAATGCCAAGCTGAAGGACTCGGCCCTCGCCGTGCGCATCCTCGCGCAGGAGCCGCCGGTCCCAGCTGATGTGCTGCCTTGGGCTCCTGCTCCAGCTCGGGCGGGGAGGGACGGGGGAGGGGATAGGGAGGGGGAGGGGAGGAGGATGAGGTTAGGGGAGAAGATGTGGCGGGGCGGTGAGGGGTGGATGGGGAGGGGAAGGAGGAGGAGGAGGAGGAGGAGGAGGAGGAGGAGGAGGAGGAGGAGGAGAGGTGAGGTCAGGGGAGAGGATGCGGATGGGGCGTGGAGGGAGGAGGATTGGGGATGGGGAGGGGGACGTTAGGGGAGAGGATGGGGAGGGAAGGGGCGGAGATGGGTGGAAGGGAGGGGGTGGATGGCGGGTGGCGGCTGGAGGGGAACGATGAGCCGTCCCGTCGTTGCCGCGGCGCAAGCGCCGCTTCGTGGTGCCGCGCGGAGGCCATCGCCATCCTCGTGGACTTGCAGGCCTCTGGAGCCCTGGCGGGCGGCGCGAGGGAGCAG